CTATTAAAGTGTACCTACTTTATGTAAAACCTCGTTAAGAAAGAATTTCGTTATTCTCTTATCATCTTGGAATGTTGCGTCCGTCGACAGGCATAGTGTTAAATAGTCACGTTTAGTATGTCAAGTATTGCCTTCATACTGATAGAACAGGTGGGACATTTACTAATCACAAAACGATTTATTTCATATAAACTACTTATGAAACCATGTTTGCACGTAACTGGTCTAAGTATTTTATAATGGGAATCCGTACTGTCCCTAATAATTAATATCATAAATATGGCATGCAGTTTGTTTATTTCTTACCCCTTGAAACTTTAAGACTCAATCTTGAACTTTGATATATATACGTAGCATGGTAAAAGATGGAGTAGGATGCAAAAAGACATAGGTTAATTCCCGGTCACGCGGACGAAGTTGCGGTAAGACACTAGTATCTAATTATATTATCATCATTATATCAGCCGTTAACTGTACACTGCTGGACATAGGCCTCCTCTTTGGGGAATATAGCCAGTAATTGCCACACTTGGCAAGTGGCTTGACAACCGCAGTTAGCGTTTAATGTTTTAAAAAGGAACGCTGCTGCCCATCCTTCGACAATTAATTTTCCTCAAACCACACCCACGAGAAAGAATGGAGTGGTCTATTCAATGTCGGAACTTGCCATGTTATAAAAATTTTATAGGCATTTTAATGGTTCAACTATTCGTCATGAAATTTGAAATGCACGTAGAAACACGAATGAAGAGGGACATAAGCAATTTTTTATTATAATCGATCAATAAATCTCTTACATGTAGATAAAGTTGTGGTTAAAAACTTGTATTATCATTATTATATTCATAGGTAACTATAAATTTCCTTCTGGTGTCGATAAAAGTTATTTTAAAGGGAAAAGATACATGAGTATTATTACATTCCATACCGAACTATACATACATTATAAACAGTCATATGTTGGCCAAATAAGCGAGGTGCTGAAAAAGGACTAAATTAAAAGTCCCCATAACCGGCGAGTGTGTATGAAAATTTTGATGAACGTAAAGAAAGCGAAAGAGATCTGTTTAAATCGAAGCATTTGGCGTTTCATTGTTTCTGACTAAGCTAATGGGAGACAGATATGACAGATATATATATATATATATATATAAATTTTTGCTATCAGTGCGCGATGACCCCTACACAAATATCGTTCATTTTTTACTTACCGTTCGGTACTACAACCTGTTTACTGAGCATGTTTTTGTTATGTGTTCACTGCACAGCCCATCGCTATTTGTGTAGAGGTGATATCATCTTCATTTCGTAGCATCGATCATCATTAACTAGATTTTCAATTACCTGATAAATCTAAGTAAATAATGACCCAAAGTTGATCAGGATGTACCAACCATAAGTGTTACAATAGGAACTTTTAAACACGGAATCTAATAAACAAAAATTGCCCGTTTGAACATTTGGTAAATGTATTAGTGAAAATATTTTTTCCCAGAGAGGGTTGACGTCAGGCAGGCGGCCGGTCGTAAAACTATAAGCCAAATTTTTTTGTAATATAGACAAAAAACATATTACGCCGACGTCAAATAATGATTGGGATAAGAGTAGGAAGATGATGATAATTAGTGAAAATATTCCATAATAATGAAATGAAAAAGCACGCATTTAAGTTCTATTTTAGTAAAAACATTGTGTAGGACATCTTAGATTAAGTAAAAAAAGAAATCCTTCGGTTTGATACCTGCTGCTGAATTTCACTATCGTTCAACCTGCACAAACTAAAGTTCCATCGCGACTAACTAAATGAGTGGCGATCTTCCATTGCACATTTTTCAAGACTATTTCTTCCACGTATAACCAAAATTTGGTATCAACTCCCAATACCTTCAGGGAGGAAAGGGGTTGTTAGCAATGGAGTTTGACGTCCCTATTAGGTCGAACTCCACGTCGTTCCCCCTGGAAACCATCGTGAACAATTCTTGTTAAATTTGTCACGATGAGCTGACTGACCTGCTTCTTCCTCACCTATCATCCTTCAATGATGCCCCGCCGGTGTATACCGATAGCGCGGGTAGGGTTACCATGTCATTATCACCCATTAAAAAAATACTCCCAATACCTATATTTCTGGACCGATATGACATCGTAACTTTTAAAAAATACTATATTCCTTTTTAAAGACTGGCAGCACACCTACAATTCCGGTGTTACGAGTGCTCATGAGCGACGATAGTCACCTACCATCAGATGAGCCGCACGCTTATTTACCCCCTGTGTTGTAAAAAAAGTGCATTTCGGTGCTGCTTTTGTGAAAATATTGTGTAAGAACGCTATAAGCGAAAGAGCTCCCATATGAGTATTTGGATGCTGTTTTAGTAGGTACGTAATATAATATACCAGATATCACTTATATATATAACACAGAATTTTTTGTTCTTGTTACTACTATATTAATTCGTTCTTTGTTGAATTTTTCTATACGAGTATATCCTTTTTAATGATTTTGTTTTCTTTCCTTATCTATAAGAATGATTTCCTTTACGTTTAGGCAGGAGGGAAAGCCTATTACTTACGTTTTCTGTGTTGAATACTGAAATTAAACAACAAACCAATTGTTTGTGCAAATGTCAGTAGCAACTTGTAATCGTGTACAAAGGAAATCCCGGTTTCACGTTTGTCATATCATTTGTTAAAGTGATTTCCGGCATATTGAATGGAAGATGTACCGCATTTTCCTGGGCTTACATTATTTTGTTTGCTTTTTGACGCATATGATGACCAATGCAAAAGTATATTTCCTGAACTCACATCGATGTTATTGACATTTTAATTTGCAATTTTAAATTGAAGTCCGTTGAACGACGCTGGCAGACAGCGTATACTGAGCGACATACATATTGTTCCCTTTGTTAAACTCTCAAACTGTTTCTTTGTACTCTCACAATTCCAACTAGGTAGCCATTAATATGTTTATAAATTAATTACGTACATTGATATAATATCTTAATGAGTTTTTAAAAACCAAAGATGTAGATAATGTGACGTATATGTGTTGACTTATAAAACCCCTAAAGTTGTGTTAAACATTATGACAGTTAAAATTTATATGCGATGATGGGAAACACCGTTAACAACCCAAGTTATTTAAAAATGTAGAGAATTGTCACGCTTCAGTTATCGCAGAATACGTAGCTACATTGATTGAAGTCTCCATCACTTTGTCCGCGACAATTACTAACCTATAATAAAAGGACATAGGCTAATATATTTTTAACAAATAATATTTTGATATTTTTTATACAAAACGAATATTTATACGAAACAGTATACTCTGTTATGTCCGTGGTACTATTTATGTCTATAGGCGACGGTTACCACTTTCCGTCCGGTTGGCTATCAGCTCGTTTGCATGAAAAAAAAAATATAAAAAATAACTTAGATTTTAACAATACATTTAGTATTGTAATTAAAGGATCATTCATCTGTAGCTAACGGTAAATTCTCTTACATTATTACTATGCAATAAGACAAGACCGTGTTCTTTAGATGCGATAAGGAAAGATTTTTCACTATAGTCATAATTATTTAGATTATAATTAATACATAATATATCCTTATCGTCATCTCCATCAAACTATGTAGGTTTCTGTATCATTTTGTAATCTTATACGCTTTCCGCATGCAAGACTTGATACCCATCCAGTGATTTCCTCTATATTTTCCTCTCAAATCTGCCACAATTTAAAAATATTTTTCTAAACTACCCTGCTGTGTCAATTCAGTTTTCATATACAAGCACTTCTATATGCAGAATATCCATTGATTTCCTTTTATACCAAGTAACAAACTTGTGGACCAGAATTTGCGCAGTATCTGCGTATAAAGCTTACCACAAATTTAATTTAAAGAATTTATATTGGGACTCAATCCAATAGGATTTGTACACACCTCTACCAGCCGAAGTGACAGAAACTCTAGGAGAGTGAAGACTGTCACGTTTAAGACTTTTGTTACAATATCTCCGAAAGGAAACAGGGAATTGTGAGTAACGGAGACGTATGGTTTTTAAAATATACCTTGAATATAGGTTGAAATCCACGCGGTTCCCTCTGAAAACTATTGTGGTTAATTCCTGGTGAACTGTTGTATCTCATAAGACAAGATATTCTCGTTTGAGAACCAGGCAACAAATATGATTGTGTGATTAAAATCCATAACGATAGCCTAATATTTTGTATAAGCGCAAGGCCTGTCATTTGTATATATATATCATTTGTATCAAAAAACTGTCATGTTCACAATCTCAATACAAGACATAAGTATATATAAGTTAAATGTTCTAAAGAATCGTTTAAAAAAAAATAAGTCTATTGTGGGAACGGGCATTAAAATTTATAATAAGGTTATGAAATGTACATTGAATCTACTATTCTCAAAATTTAAAAGACTTATTAAGAAAAATTTAATGTATAACACACTAAACGTTTCTTACAAGACAAACATACCCAGTTCTAAATGGTCATGCATGAGATATGTATTATCTATATTACAAATCAAGTCTGGCATATATCTGAAAATATTAAAAATATTTTATTTTTTAGTTATAGTTCAATATAATATTTACAATAATGTATTACTTATAATAATTCGTCTAATAATTTAAATACCTCTTGTACTGTATTTTAGTATGTCTTGACATATAATTATATGGTAATCGTAAAATCAACTTTTGTTGAATAAAGCAATAGTTTAAATTTTTACCCGTTCTTCTCAGCTGAAATTATAATCCAAATGGTCGATAAGATCATAAATAAGGACTTTTTTAAAATGCTTATAATTAAGTTTACTTGAATAAAAAATATTCTTATTCTTAATGAACTGTTTTCGTTATTATTTATCATTCCTCATTGGTCTCTGGCCAGTTTAAACACAGATGAGGTTACTATTCCATTTCCATCCATTTAAAATCTCCGATATATAATATTCATATTTTTTAACAGGATATTCGAGAAAGTACGGCAATACTTCGGTGCGCAGAGCGAGTCAATCCCGATGTCGTTCGTGCTGGGTTTCTATGTAAGCCTCGTGGTGAAAAGATGGTGGGAACAGTACAAATTACTGCCCTGGCCAGACACTCTTGCGCTCTTCATCTCTGCCGGGATCCCTGGAGCGGTCAGTAAAGTAAAGACAAGTTCAATATATTATATTACTATCTCTTTTTCTCTTCACTCTTTCACAAGTACAATTTTATATGGTTTAAAATACATACATGCATATCACTAAATGATACGCTATCCAGACTAAAACACTATATTCGTTAGAATGCTATTGTTCGCTTGGAAATTATTGCATTGGCTTATATACATTTAACATAGCTGGTAGTTAATATTGGAAAATTATTTTGTAAGTAAATTTACAATACGGCTTCTACGTCAATCACTTAAAGTTGGTACAAAGTTTAGCCGTTTTTGTTAATTTTATTTAAATTTAAAATGGCCTAACAACATTTACTAATTTATCTATTGAAATATATTTAATTGCCCAATGCATGTTTATCACTTCGTCACTTCAGATTTGCTGCCCCTAATTCATTTTTTTTTTTTTATAATTGTCAAGATAAGGTTTGGAAGAAAGCAGAATCTGAAAAATCATACGGATATTTGAATAATTATCTTCATTATTACATTTATAATTGTAGTGGATTAAAAACTGAACTACTTTGTTTTTGGTAAATTCCTGTCACACTCTTATGTATTTATTGTTCTGTAATTATAAGAATTTGTATACAGATTTTTAAAATTTACTTACATTTTTATTTATAAGTTAATTAAGAATGAGACACTTTGCTCTCTATGTATTTTCTGCTAGTTGTTTGAATCCGGTCACAAGAACTGCAACGATAATATGTGATGTGACTCAGTCATTGATACTATTCATACTATCCTTGAACGCTGTAGATTTTAAATTCATTCAACCGTAATATCGTCGAATATTCCACCCACTCTCATAAGTCTGTAGCAGATTTAGCCACCATGGACTATCTTACTAGAAAAGTGGAGACAGGCAGCCTAGGCCCTCTAAATATTAAAAAAAAATCTTTATCTCTATCCGCGTTCTTGGCGCTCTGAAATCAGCAATAGCATAGTACGTGTAGATGCCAGAAGATTGGATTGCCTTCTCTCTTAAGAGCGAAATATAGAAACCAATTAATTAACGAGTCTTGCAATTATTTAACTTCATCGATATTTAAGTAATTTGTTTAAGGCTGGTAATGAGAATTGTAAAGCTAAAAATGTCTATGTTACGTACCTACAATTTTGTATTTATGTACATATATATTTATCAGTGATGATTACAACTTCCCATCCAAAATTGTTTGTTTACGATTGTTTGTTATTTTGAAGTTGTATAAAAATACATATTTACTTCGACCACACTCATGGCATATTACTCTTGACTAATATATATAAACTTTTTAGATTTTGGTGTTGCATAATTTATGTTTTTTTTTTCTATTTATAAATAGCTAGGGATCTACGGATCTACACAGTCCGCTTCCTAATTATTTATCTCCTTAAAATGATTATTTTCAAATATTCGTTTAAAATACATTACTTATTTCTAACTAGACAATTATACTCGTAGTAGATTATTGTCCTCGACAAATAATGTCAACATTTAGGTAAATAACTATACCTCTTAATTGATAATAAATGAGATTTATCTAGAGTATTGGTATTCATACACAAAATTAAAATGTTATTGTTTATATGGTACGTATGCATTAAATTCATTATCTCTATTACAAAGTCTGTAATAATAAACGTTAAATAAATAAATAAAAAATTCACCTGTTTACATACGAGTTTTGAAAAATTCCTTCGAAAGTGGTTATTCAATGATATTATATTATTATTTTTTAAGTTTATAAAGAACCCTGAGAGAAAATATATATTTCAATACATAGAAATTAAGGTTGTGCATCCATCTCTCAGTTTCTATTCTATTCGTGAATTAACAATTATAAGATATTCCTCAAAATAATGATAGCAAAATGTACTGAATAACAAAGTCAAAGGAAAATTCGATTAGTCAACTGAACTGAAGCACGAACAGAGTTGTTAAAAAATCCCGATGAATTTGATGATAAACTTTCCATACTGAAGACGTAATATTATTTTGTTGTATTGTATAGGGGGAGGGGGTTGCTAGTAGTTACTACGCTTGGCAGGCGGCTTGGCAACTGCAGTTTAGCTTTTGGTGATGTTTTAAGAAAGACACTACTGCCCATCTCTCGACCATAAGCTCCTTTAGTCGCCTCTTACGACAATCGTGGGAAAAAAGGGGTTGGTCCATTCTATGTCTGGAGCTACACAAAATCTAAATTACGAATACATTTAACTTATATTATATTTCATACCTTCATATCGCATGACAAATTACCCTTCGTTCCAACCGTCTTTGTTTTGACACAATTCGTTATAATAAATGTATTTAGTACTTTCACGGAAACACGTGATTCGAAACGTGTTTGCACAATTACACAGAACCCATAGATCGCGTATGCTTCTACGTTTTCTCGAAACCCCGAAGTCATTTTCTAAAGGTATGTAATATAGCAAAAGTATTGCGAATCAAAACTTTATGTATAGGTATAAGAATAAATATTTATTGATTATTGACCAAACCATACAAGTGAATATGTTGTTACACAATAACTTTAGAAATTAAAAATAAATACGATATAAGTAAAGGTAGATATATCGGTATAAACCTTATTTCGGATTTATGTAAAGAATTATATAAATTACTATAATGGATCGCCGTGTGAACCCGGCATAGAATAAGCCACTCCTACTGCCACGTGGCATTGGCGTGCATATTATATAGACTGTAACTCCGTCAACTTTTAGAATCGCGATATCTCAGAAATGGTGATTCTCACACAAAAAGTATCAAGACAATTATTGTTGATAATTTTATAATTTACAATTTTTGTCTGATTTATTTTTTTGATTAAACTTACTGTTCACGACAAAAATCCAAAAAAAACTGATAATTTTTACCTTTGACCATAAATAACTTTTTTAGCACACATGGTGACTTTCGGTATTTTATTCTTAGTGGTATAACCAAGGTGTCTACCAATTTTCAGCTCTGTGGGAATTATTGTAATTTAGTGACTATTTTTCTATCTATTTTAACCACATTATACTTTTCTGTGGGTATCGACTGGTAGGCGACTAAGGAAACTTAATGATTGCGGGGTAAGACAGCAATATCCCTTTTAACCCTTACAAGCCTGATTTTTTAAATCAAATTAAAAAATATATAAGTGTACCCTTTAATGTGTTTACTAATGGGGAAAAATAGTAAAAAAAATCAAAACGATATTTATTTAAAAATAAAACATTTGGTATTATTTTTAATACTTTAGGCATTACGGTAATCAAAATATTTAAATTTATTTAGCAATGAAATAATGCAAACCCCGGTATCAAATTTGAAACTTTAGGTATTTAAGGGTTAAAACATCACTAAAAACCTAACTGCTATTGCCAACCCTCTTTTCGAGCGTAGCAACTACTGGCAAATCACTTCTTATGGAGAAGGCTTATGTTAAGCAGTGGCCAGTTAACGTTTAATATAATGATGATATATGTCTATAATGTATATACAACTTATTTTCTATTATTTATTCACTAGGTCCGTTCTTTCGTAAACAATTACATCAGCAATATTTAGTATCTACGGCTGACGAATAGTCATCGTCTATTTGAAAAAATCGAATGAATAATTATTTTCGTATTTTAATAGTACTGCATTCAATAGAACATGATAAATACATGAAACGTTATAAGTTAAAATATTGTAATTTACTCTTGTATCCTTATTATAAACGCGAATAATGTTGCATTTCGCTTCCTGATCGCTTTATAAATGACTCGTGAAAATCGATTGCATTGTATAACTTTACGCCGTCATTATTACTGGTACAATTAGTTCATACATAAAAGGCGTGTGTAGTAAAATAAAAAAAAGAAGTTAGGAATATCATACATTGAGATTGAAGAAATATAATCTATAAATGTTTTTGAATATGCTTAGTTATTTTTAGTTTAGCACAAACTCTAAGCCTAAGTAATATAAAAACCTATTCATCGTTATATGACAAACTCCCCTCCCACCTAATTAAACTGTACAAAAAATGATGAATAAGCAAGTGTGTTACAAGTGTTACAAGAAAATCTTTACTTCTCGTGTGCTTCTAGGCTGTGCAATAAATACTATTCAATTGTGTGCAAGTCATAAAATGACTCATTCATTTCCTCATGCAATTTGTTACGGTGTAACGATTACACGTAAGCATTGATAGGTGTTGATACGGTGCCTGGTGGAGTTCGAATTGCATATAGACATACCTACTTGTAATAAAATCTAAGTCGAAATAACAGAGTCACGAAATCAAGTTTTTGAATAATATATTTTTTACTTTTTTATTTATCCAAATCACAATTGGTTCATCAATCCAATCGTGTACTAATTTTCCAAATTATTATACTTCAAATTATTTACTTAGTGCTGCTTGTTAAAACTTATATCCATAGTGGCATTAATAAAACGTGACGGTCTTCCACTGTGGTTTTTTCAAGGCAATTTCTTCCATCCACAATCACGCTTTGGAATCAACTTTCAGCAGCATTACTTTCGAAACGATACGACATCGTAATCTTCAAGAAAAGAGTATATTCCTTTTTAAAATGCCGGCCTCACATCTGCAATGCCTCTAGTACCATGTAGTAATGCCACTAGAGGGAGACTTTGTACAAAAGTCGATTGCTTGGGTACCTCTGTCCCATTCGTGTTTCAACCGCTAAGCAGTTGTGTTTGCATGGCTGTGTTTCGGTTTGAAGGTTGGGATATGGCGTGAATTTACTTGGTACAGAGGAATAACACCTGAGTCCTCAAGAATGGCAACGCATGGGGGGTATCATAGGCGAAACAGTATACTCTGTTATATCCATAGTACTGCTCATGTCTATAGGCGACGGTTACCATTTTCCATCAGGTGGGCCGTCAGCTTGTTTGCCATTCTAAGTTGTATAAAAAAAAGTAAGGGGTGGCTTATTCTATACCGGGACTATACGGTCATATCATGTTATATATTTAATAAGTTAGAT